AATATGGTGCAGTGAATATATTGATTTGTATATGTTGGACTATCCTTTCAACTCTGGGTAAATCCTACTTATTATGGTGGTCAGCAAAGTTGCTGCATATTCTTAATTTGTTAAGACTTGTTTTGTGACCTAACGTGTTATGTAGGCTGGAGAATGTTGTGGATGTGCTTAAGAAAATTGATGCTTTTTGATGCTGTTAGATGGAATGTTCTTTATGTGTATTAGGTCCATTTGGCCTACAGTATAGTTAAACTCCAGTGTTTCCTTATTGATTTTTTTGTCTGCATGATCTAGCCATTGTTGAAACTGGAATATTGAAGTCCCCTACTATTACAGTGCTGTCTATTTCTCCCATCAGATCTGTTAATAATTTGCTCCAATATTGAGTGCACATATATTTACAATTTTAAATTGCAATAAATTTTCATTACTATCATTTAATAATTACCTTCTGTATTTATTTTTGGTCTTTAACTTAAAGTCTGTTTTGTTTAATAAAAATGTAGCTCCTGCTGCTCTCTTAGTTTTCTTTTACATGGAGTAACTTTTTTGATCCCTTCACTTTCAATTTTTCTGTGTTCTTAAATCTGAAATGGGTCACCTATAAGATGACATTAGAGAATTGGGCATTATTTAATCCATTTGGCTGTTTTGATTGCACAGTGTAATGTGTTTAGTAAATATTGCTAGGTAAGGACTTACTATTGCTATTTTGTCATTTGTTTTTTACTGTTTTGTAGATTCTTTTGTTCTTTTTTTCCCTCTCTTGATATTTTTTGTGGCTTAATGATTTTCTGCACTCATATGCTTTGATTTCTTTCTGTTTATCTTTTGTGTGTCTATTAAGGTTTTTGTCTTGTAGTTACCATGAGGCTTACGTGAGATATCTTAGTTACAGCAGTTATTTTAAGCTCACAATAACTTAAAAGCGATCACATACAAAAATTCTACACTCTTACTCTTATGTTTTATGTCCCTTTTTGTAACTGTTTATTGTGTCTTCACTAACAAAAATCACAACTTTTGTAATAGTATTTTAATATTTTTGTCTTTTAGCCAGAATTATACATGATTTAAATAGTGCCATGGCATTAAAACTAATCTGATTTTTAGTATATATGTAACTTTACCATCAAATTTTATACTTTCATATATTTTTACATTACTAATTAGCATCCTTTCATTTCAGCTTGAAGAACTCCCTTTAGCATTTCTTGTATGGCAGGTCTAGTGGTGATGAACTCCCTCAGCTTTTATTGTCTGGGAAAGTCTTAATCTCTCCTTCATTTCTGAAGGACAGCTTTGTCAGGTAAAGTATCCTTGGTTGGCAGTTTTTTTTTTTCTGTCAGTGCTTTGAATCTATCATCTAGCTTTCTTGGCCTGCAAGGTTTCTATAAAGAAATCTGTGGGTATACCACGGGATTCCCTTGTATGTAATCAACCTTTGTTTTCTTGCTGCTTGCAAAATTCTTTCTTTGATTTTTGATAGTTTGATTATTATATAGTTTTGTGAAGTCTTCTTTGGATTGAACCTTACTAGAGAACTTTGAGCTTCATATATATGCATATCCATCTTTCTCAGATTTTTAAGTTTTCAGCCATTATTTCTTTGAATAAATTTTTCCCTCTTTTTTTCTCTGTTCTCCTTTCAATATTCTCACAGTATGAATGGCATAGTTTTTTTTTATGATGTGAAATAAGAAAGTGTAGCCTTTCTTCATTTCTTGTCATTCTTTTTCTTTTCTTCCAAATGACCTCTTTTTGAGTTCACAGATTCTTTCTTCTACTTGACTGAGTCTTAGGTTGATACTTGCTGTTGCACTTTTCATTTTATTTATTGAATTCTTCATATCCACAATTTATGTTTTGTCTGTGTGTACTAATTATATCTATGTCTTAATTAAATTTTTTATTTTCATCATGTATTCTTTTTCTGACTTCAATGAGCTATCCATTTGTGATCTCTTGTAGATCTCTTAAACATTCTGTTTGTTTGTTTGCTTGTTTGTTTGTTTTGGCTGCTATGGATTGAACTCAGAGCCTCATACACACTAAATTAATGCTTTATGACTGAGTCAAATTATTTTTAATTCTTTTGTTAGGCCATTTGTAGATCTCCATCTTTTTTGTGCTGGTTACCAAAGTACTATTTTATTACTTTGCTTGTTATCATGTTTTCTTGTTATTTGAAGTCTTATGTTGCTGTAATCATATTTGAAGATAGTGTGTAACAGTGGTGGTAAACATATGATATGAATGGTGCAGCAAGCACAAAGAGGCCTCTCTGCGGGCATGCGAGCCCAAGTCCCTCCAGCAGCCAAGCACCGGATAACAGTTGTTTTTTCTAAACTGAAACCTCAGTACTCAGGTTTAATTGAAGTTTGGGCAGTTTGAGATAAATAGGTGGGTTTAAGGTTGCAGTTTGGGCACTCATTTTCTAAAAGGTTCACCACCACTAGTACTTGCTTGAAGAAATAACATCTTCACCAAATAGCTTCACCTGGAGAAATACATCTTCACCAAATAGCTCAGCTAAGGATTCTGAGCTCTGTCATAGCTTGACTGTAGGGGTACCTACTCCACAATTTTTTTCTTCTTGAATAAAGTATTAATATTGTATGTCCTCTGTAGACCCCACAAAGCCACCACAGATGCTGGGAGTTTCCTTTTTGTTTCCCTTAGGGTGATGTCCTAAAATGCTTAAGTTGTGTGCTTTCTTCCAGTCCTGGAAAATTGACCCAGATGGTGTTAAGCTTATATTTCTTGGCCATGGGATCATGCTTAGGCTGCTGGTCTTGAGGAATGAGAAGTAGACATGCAGAGTTTTGGGGGTGCCTATGGGCCACTTATGAGAGATTCCACAGGCAAAACATCCCAAGTGGCTCATGGATAGGCTTCCTGAATTAGTTAACAGAGTGGTTAATTGGGTTTGTGGCCTATTGTGTCTGCTCCCAGCCTTTCCTAAACACTTAAGCCATGCCTGACACCTCAGTATTCTGAGTGGGATAAGAAAGAAACAGGCCTCTTGGACAGTGTCCCAAATAACTAGGAGAGCCTTCTGTTCACTCTCTTCTCTATTACCTCAATCTTTGCTGTAGGATAAATTGTGGGCTGAAGAGGGTCCCTCTTCTCACTGAGCTATGCTGCTTTGAGGGAGATGTGGTGCAGGTAATTGAAGATGTTCTTAAACCTCTTCAATGCATGTTTTCTCAGATTTTTTGTTCCAGTGGTGTACTGGAACTTCTACACTGGGTTCTCAGACTCCCACAAAGGTACTCTTATTTGTGGGTAGTTTTTAGAATCAATGCTTCTGCAGAATGAATGCCAAATGTCACTCCAGTAGTACTTCTTCTGAAAGCTCATTATAGCAAGAAAAGCTGAACATACTATATCTTCACCAGTAAACAAAGTTTATTCCTATTTTCATGACATAGCATAGTGAGCTAAGGAATACAACTAGAGGATTTTTATGTCCTTCCTATGAAATATTACCTTACATAATTAATGTTAAAATTGAGTAAGCAAAAGTCAGGTTCTCTTTTCAAAGCCTAACACATAAAATGCTACATTAAATTCCAAAGTATTATAATAAAAATAAGAAAAGAACTATATTGAATAGTCATAAAAAATCATTATTTTTGTGTTCAGTATAGGAAAATGTATCATTAACCTAATCTTAAAATTAGCATCATCATTTATATAGAAACTGATTGAAAATAGAAGAAAACATGGACTCAAGCCAGAGGTTGTAAACTGAGGATAGGGATCAGTTTTGCTAGCATTTAAAAACCAGAAGAATTTACATTGAAAAGAATCTAGGCTCTCATCTTCTCTTGAAAAAAAACCAATGTGTAGTAACACTGGGACATCTTTTTGCATGTCAATTTAACTATAGCAGTGATGTCCTTTAGTGGGATGTGTTCTTGCTAATTTATCCTTGACTGCACCTCTCAGGCTGCTTTCTTTTACATTCTTCATCTTGCAGAAACCTGGTTTTAAACCTAGTTTTAAGAACTTCACAGAGACATAGCATGTGATTTCATTTATCTGTTTTACTTTATTAGAGGTAGTCCTGTTTATTTCAAGAGAAATTTTGTCAACCTAACAAGAATAAGCCTGAAGTGTTTTAAACTTCATGAAAGAAAAGTTTTAAAGAAAATACTTGTTATAATTTTAATAAATAATTACATATTTATATATGATAGCTTTTTAATGTACTTATTTCATTAAAATAAATCCACATTTATTTCTACTTTCCCAATATACTATTAAATCATAGTCTGTACTCTGGTTTTTAAATTGTTATTATTGTTACCTGTTTTTCATTTCAAACTTAATAAATTCAAATTTCTATGATAAAATAAAAATGCTCTAGTTATTATATACATTTATCCACAAAATAACACTAGATATTATCTAATTATTAATACGTTTCAACTTTTATTTATTTCACAAGAATTTTTGAAATTTATTACTATAATTAATTTTATCTTCAATGTGCTAATCTCCTAAGAATTTATCTGCATGTAATGCCAAGATAATGGAATATATGTTTTAAACAGATAGACCTTTAGATTTATTTTACAACTATCCAGTCCCAGCTTAATGTTTTTATATTATCTTCAGTAGAATATGTAACAAAATTCTTGCTATAGAAGTTATTGTGTCAAGCCTCCTTAAACTTTATTTTCTTAGTTAACTTTTAAAAATGATTTTCTTCTATCTAGCATGATTCCTTTTGACCTAAAGTATATTACACATATAAAGAGAAGCACTTGAAAATTTTAAGCCTAAAATTGCAGGACAGTCTTCCTTTAACTTAAATGAACAGTGAAAATAAATATGAAATTTTTGAAAAAAAAAAGAAGGAAACCACAGGTCTGGGTGTATAATCAGAGAATGGTATCTATATTAATTATAAATTGGCTTTGTATCATAAAGAATCCACTGTTCATTAGGAGAACCACTACATTTTTTTCTCTTCTACTTTATTTTTTCAGGTGGAGTAAAACCTTGTGCATTAAACTGCTTGGCTGAAGGTTACAATTTCTACACTGAACGTGCCCCTGCTGTGATTGATGGGACCCAGTGCAATGCTGATTCACTGGATATCTGTATCAATGGAGAATGCAAGGTTGCACACATTATAGTTCTCTTTGATGGGATTTTTTTGAGACCTTGGTCTTTTTCTCCGATAGTAGCTCCTATTCAATTCTATGTTTAGTTTTTTAAAAAGAGGACCACATTTTAGAAAAAATTCAATTTCCAGTAAAGAATGACTTTATGTGTAGTTAAATGACCCATTCTACTCATTCACCATGCAAATGTGATTTGTCCCAGAATTTGATTTCTGTTTTATAGCCATTGCCAGTTCTGAAAATATTCTGGACTTCCATTCCTATTACTTTCTTCTGTTTACAAACAAAATCATAAAAAAGAGAGGAACAAGGATTCAGGTCTTATTCACATGACAACTATACGTTCTCATTGGAATAATTTATATATTTCATAGCATAATTTTTCTTGAAATAGCTATGCTCTTCCTATTTTATGTCTTTTTGAAGTATTTATAATGGTTTTCTTTATGGAGTTACTCTTTATCTTATTAAAGCATTTACTTTAGAGAATTAGTCAGATTATTTAGACATTATAGGAGCAAATACATACTATTTTCTTAAACCTATGTGAATATTATGAGGAAAGCCACAAAAACCACTGTTCTCATAACTTTTTTGGTTTTTGTTATGCTTTAGAAAGAAGCATATAATTAAGTGGTACAAACTGAAAAAGAAAAGATACAAGCACTGTTTATTTGCGTAGTCTCATCATTTCTTGGAAAAGTTCCTTTCCTGCTTACTTGGCTGCAAAATACCTGATAATCTAGTTCAGGTGTGTGTGTGTGTGTGTGTGTGTGTGTGTGTGTGTGTACAAGAATATTTTATTTCCTTGAAGAAAAAGTTATCTTTTGACAGTATTTTATTTTTCAGGTAGCAAAGATCTAAATATAGGGTTGTTGGATTTTTTTCCCCAGTACCGGGGATCGAACTCAGGACCTTGCACTTGCCAGGCAGGCACAGTGCCACTGAATTATGTGGCCATCAGTAGCCACATTATGTGGCTATCAATGGCTAAAGATCACATGTACAGGGCTGGTGGGATGTAGCTCAGTGGCGCAGCACCTGCCTGGCAAGTGTGAGGCCCTAAGTTTGATTCTTGCTACCAAAAAAGAAAAGTGGAAAAAAAAAAGATCAAATGTACAAATTGAGGCACCAAAATAAGTACATATATATACTATAATTATATATATAATATACTATATTAGTATATATATACTAAAAGAACTATTATTTTATAATTAAGAGCAAAATTAAAATGTAAAATTTTAACTTAATTGCGTGTCTGCATCTCTTTTTTGTTTATAGCAATTTTTTTCAGCTAGTGGAAGCCAGTATTTATTTTTAATGACTTACACAGGTGTGGATTTCACACTTAATCTTTAACACTAACAATTGAATATTCAAAAAGAGACAAAGGGCAAATCATAATGCTCAGTCAAAATTCTTGTTATATCTTGTAGAAGACAATAGTTATTTTTTTAGTTCTTGAATTTCTTCATTGAGGATATAAGTAAGAACCTGTTGCTAACAAATTATAATATTTTAAGAATTAGAGCATGATATACAAGTTAAGGAGAGGGCTAGGTTAGAAATATATACATACATGTATGTTCTTAGGGAATCAAAATTGTTTAGATATAGGCGTTGAGAAATGTCAGCTTGGACTTACTAGAGAGTGAAGGTAAATGGGCCAGTATTTCCCATTTTTATTTCCTTTACTGGAAAAACAAGGAAATAAGTAAATTATGTGTTTTTGATTAGTTATAGTCCAAGAGTTTCTCTTTTGACACCCTGAATATTCTCTATTTCAGCATGTAGGTTGTGATAACATTTTGGGATCTGATGCAAGGGAAGATAGATGTAGAGTCTGTGGAGGAGATGGAAGCACATGTGATGCTATTGAGGGATTCTTCAATGATTCATTGCCAAGAGGAGGTGAGTGTGTAGAAAGAATTCTTCCTCCAGAAGAGCCAAAACACATGATTTTTTCTTCCTTTCTTAGTCTTAAAAATGTTTATTTGGGTAGACAATATTTTTTCCAAGTTGTTTTCAGTCATTTAAGTATTTTGTATGTCTTCATTAAGATATTTAAAAAATTTTTATTCTCTGTCAATTTGACTTTAGCCGTATTTCTTTTCCTCCCAGTCCTGAAGATCCAACCCAGGGTTTTGCTTATCTTGGACAAGTCCTTACCACTGAGCTGTACTCCAGCTCTACATTTTTTTATTTTAGACTTTATTTGGTTCGTCTGTCTGTCTAATAGGGTCTCACAGTGTTGCCCAGGCTGACCTGGAACTTCTGGCAAAAGTGATCCTGCCTCAGCCTCCTGAGTATTGGGATTGTATAGTCATATACCACCCAGCTTTCCATGTTTCTTTAAATTGTGAATACCCTCAGAGCATTGATGTGAGGGTCATGTGTTGAAAAGTAGAAGAAAACCAATAATATGTATGTTGAAGCTTTAAAAATATCTTGAGATAACTTTAGAGAAAAATAAATACTTTTTCTCTAAAATGTATTCATGAACCCAAAGGGTATTTTACCCCAATTTTATAATTTATAAAGTACAAAGTCAAAGAAGGAATGGAAAAGTTAAAGAAACTGTTATTTAAAAAATGTTTTCCAAACATTTTCTGGGTGAGGCTATTTATTACTGACTGACTTGTGTTCCAGGATACATGGAAGTGGTACAGATACCAAGAGGCTCTGTTCACATTGAAGTCAGAGAAGTTGCCATGTCAAAGAACTATATTGGTAAGTTGTATTACTAGTTATGGAGTAAAGTACATACTGTTTTGAGACAGAATACTTCCATGGTAAAATAAAAAATTTTCCAAGTTTTATAGGACTACATGCAAATTGCTAAGCAGGAAAGTTATTAGTTTATAGCTTACTGTTCAATAAATCATTTATTTAGTTATAAATTACATATAATAAAATGCATCCATTACAAGTGTTTAATTTACAAGGTATAACAACCATAGATAGATAGATAGATAGATAGATAGATAGATAGATAGATAGATAGAGCAAGCCAAAAAATATATACACACTCCAGGAAAAGAAAAATATATGATACTTTTTCAAAGATGGTGTTACCCTCAGGTGGGGGACCCTAAAAGATGTTGCATACATTGCAGAAAACCCACAACATTGCCAGCCCTTAGAGAAGAAATTGAAAATGCTTGTGGGACAACCTCAGTGGACCAAAGTTATCCAAGCAACAGTTCACTGTAGTAATAAATGTCTAGAAGCTAATGGCCACCACTTTGAGAACCTCTTGTAATTGTAGAGGCCAAAGGTAACTTGTATTAATTTCATGATGTCTCAATAAATTTAGTATTAAAATATTTATATAAGTTTTTCTTTTCCTGAAGTATGTATACATTTTTTGGTGGACACACTCTCAGATAGATAGATAGATAGATAGATATTGGTTCACAAATTCAATTTTCTCCACAATTCTACATATATATATATATATATATATATATATATATATCCACAATGCTGATAGGAATGTGGACATTTTAAAGGCCAAGCTTAGGAGACTTCAGGTGGGAACAAAGATTCCATTGGCAGTTGGACTGGAGGCCATGAGTTTTATGCTCTGGTGGAAATATATCTACATGTTGCCAGTGTCCTGAGACTTTGCAAGAGACTGAGATTAATTGATTTGGCAGATGTAATTTCAAAGCAGCCCAACATACAGGCTGTGGCATGAGTACTGCTGGCTGCTTTTAGCTAGATTTATAGTGAGAATTAGTGGCACAAAGTGAAGCATAAAAATTCAAAAAGCTTGCCAGGCATAGTGCTGCACTCCTCTAAACCCAGCACTTGAGAGGCAGAGGCAGGAAGATGATTGCAAGTTTGAGCCAAGCCTGGGCTACTTAGTCAGTTTAAGACCAGCCTGGATTACAAAGCAAGATCTTGTCTCAAAAATTTTTTTTGAAAAACTTAAATTTTAATTCCAAAGAAGCCTTGTGTAAAATTAGAGCCAAATAGGTTTGATTGCTAAAGAAATTGATACCATTGGAAAGAAACAAAGTACTTTTTACAGAGAGAAGAAGAAAGATGCATTAAGGGAATCTCAGAATCAACAAGACACCACCCATGTCAAGCTCAAGATTGCAAAATATAGACCTTTTATTTGAAAAGAGAGTGTCTGGGATGCCTGATCTTCAGTGGACTCCTAGGGAGTTGATTCCTTGGGATTCATTTCACTGTATTGAGCCACCTGGGCACTCAGAAGCCACTGCATCCATGGTCTAAGGGGGCCCAGATACCTTGGTATGGAAGCCAACCTTGGTATCATTCACATTGTGATGGTTTTACTGGCATGCAGAAAATAAGAGTTGTAGAGTTAGAAAGATTTTTCACCCCAATTTCAAAGAAAGGCCCAAGAGGCCAGGTAAAGAACCCCTGAGAGGGTACTTTGTGGAGCTGTGGGAATGAAGCTGTAGATGCAGTGGAGACCCCAGGAAGTTGGAGATGTCAGGAATGTGGAATGTCTGCTGAGGAAAGATGCAAGCTGTCACCCTATGAGAGAGCACTTGTAGGTTGCAACCTATAAGGCCATAGTCGTGGAGCCACTGAAGGCTTTTGGAACTCACATTTCACCACCATAAACCTTGAGTGCCAGATATGAAACTACAGGACTTAATGTTTACCGTCCTGGGTTTTAGTCTTCCTTTGGTCCAATTCTTTTCTCTCCACCTATTTCCCACTTTTGAAATGGGACTGTTTACCCTGTGCCATTGTACCTTGGGATTATGTAACTTATTTTTGATTTTTTTCCAAAGTGGGTAAATCATTTTATATTCCTACCAGTAATGTAGAAAAATTTCAGTTGTTTTACATCCTTATCAATACTTAATATTATAACTCTTTAATTATACCCATTTCAGTATCTTTTTTCATGAAGAATATAAAATATTTTCTCTATTTTTAAATTTTTTAGTTAGTCCTTTATATAGTCTGTATACAAGTCTTTGTCCCATATATGTTTCATATGTATTTTCTCCTAGTTTGTTGTTTGCTTATTTGTTTTTAGGTGATGTCTTTCTTAATTTTGAAGAAATTCAGTTTATTAAACATTTACAATTTGTGCTTTCATGTTCTAACTTGGAAATTTTGCCTATTCCAAGCTTGCAAACATTGTCTTCAAAGTTCCTTCAAGAGATTATAATTTTAAGGGACAGGGATGTGAGGGTCAGTGAGGCTTAGTGGTAGTATACATGCTTAGCATGTACAAGGCCCTAAGTTCAATCCCCGGCACCAAAAATAAATAAGTAATAGTTTTAGCTTTACATAAAATATGTGGCCCAGTTTGAGTTAATTTGTATGTAGCATATGAAGTAAAGGTTGAGCTTCCTTTTTATTTCCATATGGATATTCAATTGTTAGAGCATCATTCATTGAAAAGACTGCCATTTCTCCCTTTAAGTTACCTCAACTCCTTTGTTAGAGATCAACTGGATACATTTATATGGATCTATTTGTGTTCTCACCTATTAATCTGTTTCTGTCCTTAAACCAGAATTATACTGTGTTGAGTAATGCAGCTTTTAAGTGGGTTTTGAAATTCACAAACATTTACAAGACCCTCAAATTTTTCTTTTTAAAATTATTTTTTGCTTTTCTAGGTCATTTACATTTACATATACATTTTAGAATCCACTTATAAATTTCTACAAAAAGAGACTTTATAGAATGTATAGATCAGTGTCCTGTTTACTTTTCTCATTTCTAAGACAAAATACCCAATGCCCAAAGTTAAAGGAGGAAGGGTTTATTTTAACTCACAGTTTGTAGAGATTTCAGTTGATAGTTGGCTGACTCCAAGGCAAGGAGACATGGCAGAGGGCCATCACAAAGGAGAAACAGTCTATGGTAAACAGGAAGCAGTGACCCTACCTTCTTTCTGTCCCTTTATATGCCATCCAGGCTACAAGCCTATTGGTTGTTGCCACTCACACACAGGGCCACATCCAGAACTATGCTAAACCAATTAGTCCACTATTTATCCCATTAATCCCAGTATTATGATCTGGCCACCATTGAAAAGCTCCACTGATGAGCCCATGAAGCTTTAGGGGAACATCTAGATACAAGCCATAACAATCAGGCAGAGAAGTAACATTTGTTATAGAGAAATAACAGTTTTAAAGTATTGAGGTTTCCAGTTTATAAAAAATTATGCTAGGCAGGTTGGTGCATGCTTGTTATCCCAGCACTCTGAGACTAAGGAAAGAGGATTGCAGCCCTAGCCTGGGCAATTCAGGATCTTAGGGAACCCATGCTTCAAAAAATTTTTAAAAATGTAAAAGGCTGGGAGCATAGCTCAGTGGGAAGCCTTTGGGTTCAATTTCCAGTACTAGGAAAAAAATACTTACTTATGTGTTTATTTTTATTTTCTTTAGATTTTTTTTCATGATTGTTCCCTTTTCAGTGTATAGGTCTTACATATATGTTTTATTCAGTCTATCACTATTTACTACTTTTTGATACTATTGTAAACAACACTGGTATTTTAATTTCATTTTCCAATTTTTATTCTTATTACATAATAGTTCAATTGATTTCTTTTTACACTGTCCTCATGTTCTAAAATCTCATTACACCAACTACTTCTTAGAGTTATTTTGTAAATTCATGGATTTTCTGCATAGATTATCATGTCAACCTTGAGAAAAGATAATTTTACTTCCATATTTCCAATCTTTATCACTTTTATTTGTTGTTGTGTAATAGTGTTCAGGACCTTCATTGTAATGTCAAATAGAAGGGAGGAGACTAAACATCCTTTATTGTTACTGATCTTAAGGGAAAAGGATTCCTTTTTTCTTTAACCACTAAATGTAATGGTGTTAGCTAGATGATTTAGGCAAATGACACTTTATCAAGTTTTTTTCTATTTCTAATTTTCTGAAAGTTTTACTTATGAGTGGGTGTTGAAGTTTTCTGAATTTATTGATCTGATATGTGGGTTTTTTTCTTTCTCCTATTCCCTGTTAATGTATTGTAAATGCATTGATTGGTTTTGTTTGTTACGTCCATCTAGTATTCTTGGAATGCAAAAACAATGTTTTATGATGTATTATCATTCTTCCTCTATTTTCTGAAAGAATCTGGGTAAAATTTGTATTATTTAATGTCTATAGAATTTATTGCAATTTTCTTTTTCTCATTACTCATATCAATAAGGAATCTTCTTTTTTATCATTCTATTGAGGGGTTTATTAATTATATTGATCTTTTCAAAGAACAAGCTTATGGTTTAAATGATTTTCTTTATTGTTTGTTCATTTTCCATTACACTGATTTTCATTCCTCAGTTGGTTTCTATTTTTGTTCACTTGATGTTTAATTTGTTCTTATGTTTCTAGCTTCTCAAGTCAGAAACTGAGGTTATTGATATTGAAATATTTTTCTACTGTAAAGAGGAAGTTTTCATTATAAATTTACCTCTAAACCCTGCTTTAATTTCGTACATATTTTGATATGTTGTTTTCATTATCACTGTTTAAAATATTTTCTGTGTATCTTACCATATTATTTAATTTCCAAAAATATAATGGTTACTCACATATTTTTCTGTCATTGACTTCTATTTTGATTCTATTATACTCAGAAAACATACTTTGTATGATTTTAGATTTTGTTGTTTGTTAAGTTTTGCTTTATGGTCTCGCATGTACTTGAGATACTGAATTTGTTATTCTATGAATTTAGTCAGTTATATTGCATTGGTTAAATAGTTTTGCCTGAGTTGACTATACCTGCACCTATTTTCTGTCTTCTTGTTTAAACAGTTACTGAAAGAATCATGTCAAAGTCTTTAATTAGAATTGTGAATTAGTTTCTCTGTTAGTTTATAATTTTGCTTCATTTATTTTGAAACTTTGTTAAGTGTATGCACATTTAAGATTATAACATCTTGCTATATTGGGCATTTTATCATTATCAAATGTCCCCTTTTATTGCTGATAATATTCTTTGACCCAACTATTTTGTCTAATACTAATCTAGCCACCACAACTCTCCTCTAAGTGTTTGTATGGTAAATCTTTTTTCATCCATTTACTTCTCACATGTAGATACTTCTGTATTTAAATGTTTCCTGTAGCCAACATATAGTATGATCTTGATTTCTTACTGCATCTAACAATCTTTGCTTTTTTTTTTAACTTCAATCTCTAGTGGGGTGTGTGAAGGTGGTGCTGGCAAACTTATTCTATAAAGGACCAGACAAATGATTCAAGTTTGCATATATTCTCTGGCACAACTATTCAGTCCTGCTACTGTAGTGTGAAAGCAGCTGTAGATAACACAGACATGAATGGGTGTGACTGCATTTCAGTAAAACTTTATGTACAGAAATAGTTTGCTAACTCCTTGTTTGTAATGTTAAGATTCTTGGAACAGTTTAATTCCATTGCTCCTTTCCTTCCTTTGGGTTATACTTGAGTACCTTATACTACTTATCCATATGTTATAACCCTATAATACATTTTCATTGTTTTTGTTTCAAAGACTTGTTTATTGGGCTGGAGCTGTAGCTAAGAGGTTCTGGGTTTGATCCACAACAATAATAACAAAAGGTCAATTATCTCTTAAAATTTCTTTTTACATAAGAAAAATTATTTTATATTTACCATTATCTAGTATTTTTCTTTTCTTTGTATAGAATGTTTCCATTTAATGTAAATGTATGTATCTAAAGTTCTTTGATGGACTTTAATAGTTGTTTAAAAGTTATTCTTGCTAATTTAATATTTGTAATTTCCAAGCGTTTCTTTTGTTTAGTCATCTTTCTGGTTTGAGTCACATTTTCCTCTTTTGTTTTTCTTTTGCATTGAATGTTATAGATTGTATTTCTGTGTTGAGTCTGGATTTTGTTTTCTACCTTTAAAGAGTTTTAATTAACTTATTGATCAATTTGATTGTTTTGATGCTCTCTTTTGAGTTTTATTTGGTCCAGAATGGCTTTTATTCTGTAGCTTGCTTAGTCCTACTACAAAGGCATGATTTTTCTTAGGTGTCTAGAACGCCTTGGTGATTAAAATGCAATGGTTCTGCTTACAGTTTCCCAGTACATTCTGTTTGTTTGTTCATTTCTGTTTTGGTTTGTTTTGGGGTTTTGCTTGGCTGCATGGAATTTTATTACATGCACTTACTGATTAGCAATAGAATCCTTCTCCACTCTGGTTCTTTGATCTTACAAATTCCAGCTATCTCAGCCTTGCCAATTTCTTTCTTTCTCCCTTCCTTCCTTCCTTC